CGCGCGACATTACATCCGCGACTATGTCACTGACTTGTCTATAAGGTAAAAGTCCCCATTATGAGACACTTTGCGACGTAGGTCGAACATTCTTGTTAATATAAAATATATTTGAATGAAAAATCCAATATTTATTGTGTTATCTGTTAATTTTATGATTATTTAGCCAATATTCCTTGTTTATAATAAATTTTAAATTAAAAATTAATAAAAATAAGCTTTTTTTGGAGGCACCTCTATGACCCTATTTATGAGACAGTTTAAAGACACATGTCCCCAGTGTCTCATGATACAGGTCCCTATTTTTGAGACACTTAAGAAATAAAAAAGATCTAATATATTTTATGTATTTATTAATTTTAGATCATTATAATTATAAAATAAGAAATTATTTCAGATTTTAAACAACAAATAATAGATTTTTCCGAAATTAAACGACTAATCAACACAAATTATATAAATAAATTTATTTTTCTTCTTTGATTTGTTTTTGTAGTTCTTTAACTTGAGCCATTAATTTTTCTTTTCTTCTTGCAACTTTTTTTTATGTTTCTGTTTTTCTTCTTTCATTTTTTTCATTTTTTCCTTTTCCAATTGTTTCTGGTACCATTCATCGGAGGTTCCCACAGATGGTAGCTTAGACTTGCCTGATTTTTCAAGTTTAATTCTTTTTTCTTTTTGGTAAATAATCTAGCGGTATAGTAAATATTTCCTTAAATGGTTTTTTCGGCGACATATCTAAAAATAAGAGTTTCTCTTAATTTTGTCAATTATTTTTAAAAATAGTTCATAAGTAATTATTCTATGTTACCTTTATCAATAGCTGTTGATGTAGTCTCATCAATAGAACGATGTACGTCAGTTTTTTGAGAAACACCATTTAAATTTTCTTTCTCGAGTTCTAAAAAAACAATTACATTAATAATATAAATTTATTAAACATAAAAATAATAAATATGACATTTACGTACCGACTTGATGATTTTCATTAATCACAGGATCTTTGGAATGAGTAATCGGGAGTTCTGTTGTAATCTCTCCATGCTGTACAGGTACAATCGAGTTGTCATAAACAATAGGAATTTCTAATTCAATAAAGTTGTCTTCATTTAAGTTTGAAATAGTAGATTGTATTACATTGTTGTTATCAGTTGGTTGTTCTTCATTATTAACTTGACCAGATTTTAATATAAACTCTAAAATTTTTCCATCATCAGTAATACTAGTTTCTTCAGAGTTAATCACACTAGAATCATTGTCCTCAATAATGATAGATTCCAATAGTTTGTTATTATTTAACGAATTAATTGTTTCAATATTCAAATTAGGTAGTTCTTGATCAATCGTATAGAGAAAATCAGTAGAAGAATTAGTGTTTGAAACAATATCATTTGATAAATAAGGTTGATTAGTGTTTAAGTCATTTTTTAAATTGTGTTGATTATGATGATCATTATAAATTTCAATACTCTTGATTACTGGGTTCTGTTTTGTAGTAACACCTATTTATAAAAATGTGTAAGTATGTAATAAAAAAAAATATACCGAATCAATTAAACGAATTAACTGAAAAAAATGATTAATAGTATAAATTATAATTAATTAATGTAAAAAATTATATTGTTTTAAAATTACATTTCATATATAGTGAACTGTAAAAATCGTAATGAAAAATTGTATATAAAAAATTCATAAAAAAAATTGTATATAAAAAAATTCGAAAAAAAATTGTATATAAAAAAATTCGAAAAAAAAAATTGTAAATATGAATTGTAATTAGGTCAATGATTGTCAATTAAAATGACGTAATTGTTATTTTAAATACCCGTGGAATTGTTAGAAATTTTGAACCAGTAATCGAATAATGCTTTCTTCTCTAGATCTCCGCTCCATGATTCACACTTTGCAGCTTCTTTAAATTCAGAGAGCATATCTTCCGGTAAATTTTTTTCAAAACTTAACAAAAACTGTTGATTTTCTCCATTTTCATCTGCACTATTGTTATCCAGCCGATCAACAGTTTTTTTGGATTTTTTAGTCTTCTGTAAAATATCATAGTCTACTGCATTAGAGTTAAATGGATAAAGTCCAGCTCCTCTGAATCCACTAACGACTGCACTTTTTTCATTTTTCATACTGTCCAACGTGAACTTAAGAACTTGAGGAAAATCCTCTTTTTTAATTTGTCCAACACCATGTTCATTTTTCCATTTGGGTACACATTTTTTCCATGTCTCTTTAAATGGATGGAAAAATGAAATATCCAATGGCTGCATAATATGAGTGGAATTGGGAGGTAACATTACCAATTCTATTTGTTTTTCTCTACAAAAAGTAACCAAGGGTAAATTTAGATGTGAAGAATGATTATCCATGTATAAAATAACTGGAAATTCAGTTTTTTCTTCAAGTAACCAAGGATAAAACACGTTGGTAATATATTCATAGAAGGTCTCCGTTGTCATCCAGCCACTGTCCGATACTCCAAGACCCCATCCTGTTGGAGTATTTTCCACTATTTTCTTAGGTATACTTTTCTTATAAGAGTACATAAGCATTGGAGG